ATTATTATTGGCATAAAAGCTCATATTGAAAAGTCTTATTTAAATTTTGGAGAGAGGAACAGGTAAAGAAAAGGTATTGTACTTTTCTTCTATTGACTATTAATACAAAATGTACTTTTTCTTTCCCTTTCTTGAGTTATCTTCCAGCCTGTTTGCATAGTATGTTACTTTTTTTTGTTTTGCTGTTAGTTCAAAATGGTTTTGGTACATAGCTGTGGTGGTATACTTGCGAACGCTGTAAAATTCAGATCTGCTTCCAGCTGCTGTCAGTGTTGTCTAAATTGACCTCTTAATTTCTTCTATTCCACTGGATCCACCTATGTTTTATTAACTTGTGCCAGCAGTAGATTACCTGGAGCAGAATACCTGCTGCTCCATTTGAACCTCAGATTCCTGCAAATCCACTGCAAACTGATGCTATACCAGCACAGTATGTATCAAGAGGGCTTTGCATTTTTTTAAGTGTCCCTGGGCATGTACAGCTATAGTCTTTCCATCTGCACATAAATTCTTCCCTTCCTTAAACTCGGCAAGCATCATTACTTATGTTGAAATAAGACTTTCTGCGATGAAGATTAACTTTTTGTTCTAATATGTATTGTATGTGCTGGAACGTACAAATCTAGCATAGAGAATGTGTTTTGTTTTTATCCGTGGGTGCAGAGCCTAAGATGACTGTTCGTTCTGCTCTTTGTAAAATGTTAATTACTGTCAGGATAACAACAGGCTATAATACAGGGTTTGGTATTTTACTATGTACATTGCATACCAGTGTAACATTAACTTAGCTTCTTATCTAGGGCTGCGTAACATCTCAGGTTGGTTTTTTGCATCTGCTGCAAGCCATAATTTTTATCTTCTGATGTCATGTTTGATGAGTAGCCAGCAGATGTTAGCAGCAGGTTTTGAAATTCTGCATTTTCTGGCCACTGAAGTAAGGCAAACCTTTAATACAAGCCTTTTCCAGCGTAGCTGAAACAGCTTCTGTGCACAGCCCCTGACTGCTGAGACAGAAAATGTGGCCAAATTTTTTTCCAGGCATTTTTATGCTCCCAAGCTGTCATGCTGGCTTCTTGTGGGGGGGTGGGGTGGGGGTGAGGGCTGGCTCTGATCTGGCTGGAGGACCGGAGTGACTCCCATTGCAGGATTAGGAGGTGTGTGAATTAATGCATGTTTATAGGCTTTTCTTTTGAGAGGCATTTGCAACCCAGACATACAGGTTTTTTACTTCAATATATTTTTATAAAACTTATTAAGTTGCTTTTTACATGACCTCTGCAAATTAGAATGCAATTGGCTTTTTCCTACTGTTGCCTTATTAATTACTATGACGGACCTAAACTGATTTGGGATAGGATGTATTGCAGAGGATTGTGCCCTTCATGATTTCTTCTGTTTTTTTCCTTCTTTTTCTCAAACTCTTCATCCAGTCTCCATCACATTTGGTCATTAATCTTTCAGAAAAATAGTGATGGCTTAGTGCCAAGTTCCCACCTGTGGAGAGTAAAGATAACTACTGCTTTCTACTCTGAATGACTGCCTGCATTAGGAGCCGTTCAACTCAGCCGTTAGTAAATATTCATGAAAATGCCTCCTTCTTAAAATGGGGTCATTTGGAAATAGTCATGTTCCTTTACAAATATTGTAGCTGATTTTCTTTGAAGATTGTTTCTATTAGAAACATCAGAAAATAAAGAACAAATACTATTTGAAAATAAGAGGTAATGAAACAGCTGTATCTTGTTTAAGCCACTTACTTGCAATGATAGGAGTTTGGTTTTGACCATTTGAAATACCTGTTTTAATATTATGAGAGAGATTTGTGTGTTCACATACCTGGGATATACATGTTGTTTTAAAATACTGATGATGATGATTAAGGAATGCTATGGTTTAGAAAAGCATTTGTTATGGAATAATTAAGAACTATGAGTTATTTTTTTTTTTTATGCTTTGAGTTTCATTTCCTATAAAAATAAATATAAAAGAAAAAATATGTTTACCTAGAGTTGACCTGTGAATTCTGTTGAAAGAAAATTGCCTAATAAAATAATGTAGAAGTTGCTGAAGGCCTGGCATGTGCAAGTGTGCAGAAATGGTAATCTAGATTACATGAGTAATTTTTTTTTAATTATTAGAGTGGTGAATAGTCTTTTGCAGGGACCAATAGGGTAACTCTTACTGTAGCTATGACAATGTATTTTTAGTATCATCTAATTTTCAAATGTGCCAGACAAGCGTTTTAATTTATTTTTTAAAGATGGATGAAATATTTCATGATGAAAATGTTCATTGCTTACAAACTATAAAGTGTGTTTTAGTCTGATGCAAATTAAATCATAAACACACAGTTGGGTTGCAGGGTGTCTGCTCCTACAGCTAGCACTGTTTATAGGCAGCTGGAGGTGCTTTTTTTCTCATGCTATGCTCTTTGTATTTGAAGTCTCATTTGAACTAATTATCTTTAACTAATATCTATTTTGGCTACATTCAGGTGTGACTGAGTTATTATCCAGACTGTTCTATGGAGATCTTTAATTTTAAGATGCTTAGATGTGGCAGAGATTAAACTGTTATTGATGTCCCAGCCAGTGTGTTTTTCTTCTTAAGAGGTGTATCTTGTATTGATGGTAAGGGGTTTGAATGACATGGTGGGCCTCTGAGCCTTAATTTCTCTGATATTTCCATGTTGAAGGGGAGAGGCTGTGATTCAGTTGGTTCAGTTGGCTCTTACACTGTAATATTAAGCTCATAAACTCCCAAAGGTTGTTCATGTTGTGTATGTTTTGCTGTTTTTCCCCAAAATAGACTTTTAGTGGATTTTCCTAGCCCCTGTGCTGCTCCTTCTCTGTTATTTAGACCATGTTTCTGTGGTTCTTTTCAAATCCTTTGCTGTACTTGATTCTGACAAGAGCAGCATTGTCTTTTGCTGAGGGCCTCTAAATTAACAGGGGTGGTCTCATTTGAGCATGTCTGAATTCCCTCCAGTCTCCTGTGGGTATTTTTACAAATGCTCCATTTGAAAGGCTGACTTTATCAAGGAGAAAGCCTCATTTTGAGCCTTGGAATGAAATAAATGGCTGAAATTGTAGTGCTAGTTGATATGACTAATGCAAAAGCTTTTATTATGCTTTCTTCTTCAGCAGACAGTTTGAGTAATTCTTATAATTAGTGCCTTTTTTATGAGGATTTCTGGGACCTGTGAGGATGGCTAAGACCAAAGGAGCAGCACTGAGTTAAGGTATAGCATAGAAAGTGTAGTCCTGCTCTAGCACAGGAGGACAGAATAAGGAAATAGGGTTATTGGTCATCTGGTGAACCTTACAATTTACTAGGTTCTTGCATTACTGAAAGCAAGAAGTAACACAGATGCAGTTTTTTTTCCGGTGGTTTTTATTTGCGTGCACAAGGAATTGGAGTGACAGTATATGAAGTCAAATTAAATTTCTCAAGAGCAAAATGCTTTTGTAGCAGGCCAAGTTCCGTGTCCGTGTCGTGCAGACAGTACTTGAAAAGTCTGGTCTGCTTCCCATCTTGTGCTTCAGCTGGGTCAGTAGTGATGGAGGCTGTAAAGTAACATGTTTTGTTGAAAAAACTTCAAAACTATCAAAAGCATAAAAAGTGTCTTAAATAGTAACGATTTGAATCTGTGCTGTATTTAACCCTGATGTGTACTTTGAAAGGACTGTAGGAAAGACATAATATTTGCAAGGCTGTCTGGCTGGTTTTGGACTTCTAAAGTCCCAATTTGGTTCTTTTTCAAGAAGACATGATGCATTAATATATTTATCTTTGAAAAACTTGTTTCATATTCATATTTGAAAAAGAGAAAACTTGAATGGAAAAGCTCTGAAGGTAGCTGTGTCTGTTCACATTAGCAAATAGAAAATAGAAATTAGCCCATAGAAAAGGAGCTGCACAGTGAGAAATGAAGGACCTAGCACCTGGTGTCCAGCCTGTAGGTGTTTTAGAAGCTTTAGTTTTGGTCTAGATCTAGATTTAACCTCTCAGTTGTTCATTTGCACAAATTGCTTTAGGAGGTTTTTGCAAATGTCGTAACATGCTGGTTATGTTGCATTAGCACCTGAGTGTGACTCACTGTGTAGTGAGCACTTTAGCTGTAGAAGTTGAAAGAATCTCAGAAAAATTGGCAAAACTACATGTGGTTTTGTTGCACATCTTCTGTTATGGCACCGGCAGAACACTTCTAGTGAGAGAGCAGGTTATATTGCATACCCATTTGGGTCATCTCTCAGAGAATTTGTGAACTTGAGTTCTGAATATCTTCAGAAACAACTCATTCCTTCTTCAGCTTTGCAAAGTGATTACTTAAGAACTTCAGGCTTCCAACTTAATTGCATGCCAACCCAAAACTGCACATATAATTCTCTGTACTCTTATGTAACTTTGCAATTTCCTATTTAGTCATCAAAGAAATCAGTTAATAGTGGTATCATTCCTGTAACAGTGGTACCTGCTCTAGTGAATCTAATGACATTTGGTGTTTGATTAATACCTGAAGAATCAGTGCAGTATTGTGCTTTTGTGTGCTACAGTTTGTATAATTTAATAGAAAAATATGATACACTAAGTCACAAATCCATGAACTTCTTGTTTGTGTTTATTTCCTTTCAGTTTTGTATATGGAAGATACTTCCAGTAGTTATGGTAGTCTTTGATGGTGTTGTAGATGTGAAACCTATAGCTAAAAGAGGATCTTGCAATCACATAAAATCTTATTTTTATTTCAATACTTGATGTATCTAAAACTTACTTGCAAAAATAATTACAAGTGAACATTTCTGTATTTTTTTTTTTTTCTTTCTCTGCAGATGGACTTTATGAGAATTTTAGGGAAAATACTGATTTCCCTCCCCCCTCCCCGAAATACTTATTTGGGGCACCATGCAATTGTACTAAAGTTCACCTGCTAATAATGAGCTTGGCTGATGGGTACAGGGATAAATCTTGTCCTTTTTTTTTTTTTTTGTTATCCACAGGTCCAAGGAGCTAATAAAGGAAGCAATCCTTGACAATGACTTCATGAAGAATCTGGAACTGTCTCAGATCCAGGAGATTGTGGATTGTATGTATCCTGTGGAGTATGGCAAAGACAGCTGCATCATCAAGGAAGGAGATGTGGGTTCCCTGGTGTATGTCATGGAAGGTATGGTTTAAAAAGCTGATATTTATTTCATTTTTTCAACACAGAGATAAAAACTGTATTTCATGGGAAAAATAGCTTTAAAGCAAGAGGCTAAAGATATTGTCTAAACATGGTTGTTGAAAATTGTGTGGCGTCTTGTGTGAAAAATTTCTGACTAGATTTGTGTGCCTCCCTATATAAAGAAAGGATGAAAGCTGTTAACCTTGCCTTGAGATCACTGGAATAAACATCTGCTTATTTGATACATCTAATGACAGCGTACTGTTACTTCCTTGAATCTACCAGATATTTTTAATTGTTAGTCCAAACTCTATCCCTGAATTCTTGATTCTTGTCTTCTAAAGCAAATGTGTGTCAAAGGCAACTCTTGTGTCTTTTGAGTGCTTTGGCTTATCCTTGCTCTTCTGGAAGCCCTCTATGTACGCATGACTTGGCTCTCCCCCAGTCTTTCGTCTCATAACTTTATATAAGCTCCATAAATACGCATAATGCTTTTCAAACAAAATTATGAAGAGTTTGTAGTCTCATGTTCAGACATAATGCAATGAGTGATGATGAAGTAATGGAAATGGAAGAAGACGTTATCAAATGGGTTGGATTATGGTTATGAAAACAGACTCGCTAGCTCATTTTGGCTTATCATTCTGTGTCCTCTCAGTTGCTAACACCCTTCACCACCTCTCAGCTATAAGTTTTATTCTTTACAAAACTCTACTGGAGAAATCCATCTTTGAGTGTTACTAAGAGGTATTTTCTTTTCTCAAAAGTCAAATAAGTGCTGGAAGTGTTTCTTCCATTAATTCCACTTTCTTTCCTTTCCTTGCTTGGACTTACAGCTCTGATTTGTATGAATGAAAATTACTTATGTAGAGCATTTGATCACCAATACTCTTATACTTCCTTTAATTTATGATTTAGCATTTAGATAAAGCCTCTTACCAGAAGTCTGAGTTATATATTGGTGACATTTCTTTAGACCAATTTGGAATAACAATTTGAGTAAGATGGATTTAAAAACATCCATCATTTTCGCTGTTACTCTCTTCATTCTTGTTTATCATGGTGATGCAATAGTAGTGTCTGCCCCATAGACACAAGGCTGTACCAGTCCTGGTGAGACCTTTATAACTATGGTTCTTGAATATTTGGTTTCTTTACCATGGATGTTAAAATTCATATGTATGTGACATTTGCTGAGCTTCCTTTATATTTTTTTTTTTTTTTATTTGTGTACTTGCCCAACCCTACTCACACTAGTAGGCTTGACACTTTCCTTTCCAGTCTTGTGCTCCCATGCATGTGAAGACTAAAACCTTTGTATTCTTTGTCATATTATTCTGTGTCTTACATCAGACTTTCTGCCCCTCCTCTCCTTCCCCCACACCTTTTTTTCTTATCAGGAATGAGAGCAGCAGTGGTATGAACAGGTTGGGCTCAAGAGACGAAAAGTTTAATACAGTGAAGCTTGAGAAAACACTGAGGTTATTGAAAATGCAAGAAGAAAATCTTTCATACATTCTATTATTCAGCCTATTATGTGTCAATCTGCAAAGCTGGGCAGGGAGAAGTGAAACAGTACAGGAAAAGAGGAGGATACTGTAAATTGTGATTTAGACGGGTAGAGGACAAAGCCAAGGAAAACGTTTTTGGAGTAGAAATGGTAAGGTGCTTTCAGAGGGAAATCAGAATGAGGAAGATGTTCTCTCTGTATCCAGCACCCAGGATAGAAGCCAGTGTCGAGTTTGAGAAGTAAAAGTGTGTCTCTGCTATGTGCCATACTTCAGCTGGATTGGATTTTGTTCATCAGTCTCAACAGGAGGGAAACACCCCTCAGATTTAGGAGCTCTCAATCTAAACACCCTCTGGCCTGAAATTTTACTGATTTGGGAGGTCACTTTTAATGCTGTTTGCATAGCATCACCCTTAAATTATGCAAAGCTAAGGGAGATGTGTGGTTAGTCTCATCCTCTAAATCCAGTTAACTGCTGATATGCTCAGTTGCATCTGAAAGAAGAGGCTGCTCCAGTCCTGGTAGAATTCCCTCCTGAGTGAGCATCTGGACTTCTTACTTTTTGATTGGCGCTGCATTTCCTGAATCTGAGAAGTTTTATGCAAAGAGGGTATTTTTGTTGTTGTTGTTTGGTTTGTTGTTTTTGTGCTGTTTTTACCAGGAAGCACTGGTTTCGGCTAAACCTGGGCTCTTGTTCCTATTTGGGTAGGTAGTGAGAAAACAAAGCCCTAAGTCAGGAGCTGAAACTGAAATTTCGCAACAAGCAGAATCCCAAAGGTAGGACTGCGTTGTTCTTAGTAACTTTATTTTTTGTTCTGGCCTAACTCTAGCCATAGTCTGTGTCTTGCTTGCCAGATTTCCACCTCTAGGAAGATAATGGCTCCCAGTTCACCTGCTTTGGACTTTCAGGGCTACTGCTGAATCCCCCATATACCAGTCTTTAAAACACCTTTTCTCTAGCTTCATTCTTTTTCTACCGTTACTTAGTTTAGTCCTCTAGGGTAGCTGGGTCTGATGGGCTGTGGCTGTCCCTTCCCTGGCAGTGTTCAAGGCCAGGTTGGACAGGGCCTTGGGCAGCATGGTCTAGTGTGAGGCATCCCTGCCCATGGCAGGGGATTAGAACTAGATGATCTTAAGGCCCTTTCCCATCTTAACCATTCCATGATATGATCTGTGGCACAGACAACCTTAAAAAATGCCTTATTTGTTAAATGCCGATAACCAAGGTTACATTTGTTTACTTACCAAAATTAAGTAGGTTGATGCCAATGTATTTCTTCCAGGAGAAGGGGAACCTTAATTGGAGGTACCCACAGTGAGACACAACATCCTGAAGGGCTCCATAAAAGGCACTATTAGATAGATGCCACGGTGTGAGGGAAGGTGGCATCTCAATTGGAATTTAATGAAGAGAGATCTTATGGCTTCCTATCGTACCTAACCTCAGATAGGTTTTTTACAGACTGTTCTTTGCATTTTAAGTAATTGTCTGTTCTTAGCAGCAGTGCTGTTATCAGGTATCTGTGTGATCATTAAATAGTAACACAAACTAGGTCCTTTGCCTGTGAAAGACTTCTCAGGACAGAGACCTTGATCAGGATGCGGAGGAGCCATTGGATTTGGGTGGTCATAGCAAACTGTTTCTTGAGTAACGTTTTATGCAAGTTGAGTGTTTCTCTTCCTTCCAAAGTTTTCCCTTAAGCCCTACAGGAAAGAAAGTGGTTATGATGGACTCTTGAGGCAAATGATATGTGTCCATTTGTCTTAGGTAGCTCTCATGACTTATGGAAGAAGGATTTATATGAAGTAGCAAGTTAGGATCTGGTATTTCAGCAGGCTCTGAAATAGGGGCAGAGAACACCCCTTAATTTCCCCATAGAATAGTTAGGGTTGGAAAGGGCCTTAAGATATCTAGTTCTAATGTTCACTAAGTAGTGAGGAAACCCAACAACTTTTGCACATTAACTAAATTTGGTAAAGAGATGCCCTTAATCTCTAGCATCAGAAAATTTCCCCTATAGCTGTGCTTTGAAGGTTGAAATTAACTTATTTGTGATATAAACAAGTATTCATTAGGGGCTGAAATTGCTGGAAGCATTAAACATACATGCTCTGACCATCTACAGCAACAGTATTCCTCCCGACTGATGAGACTAGTAGTGAAAAGGGGGGGATGAGAGATGCAGTGGCTTATACATCTGAACTAGTCTATACTGGCACTCTTCCCTCTGCAGTAAAGCAATTTTGGGAATAAAATAAACTTATCAGAAATATTCCCTTTCTTGCATGAAAAGTGTATTACTCTGAGTATTTCAACAGATTGTTTGTCTTAAAATTTAAGTTTCTTTTAGAGCCAGAAAGGGTTCTTGCTGGTTAATTATACTCTGCCTCTAAAATTAGCCCACCACCTCCAGTTTTCTTTAAAGAAAAAACCTAAACATTTCCAAAGTTCTAGTTTTGGAGGTTAGCATTTATTGACTTCTTTGTTGTTATTCCTTCTTTGGGCATAATATTACTTAAATTTTCTGAAAGCACTCAAAAATGTGAAAACCTGGAAAGGTCTCTTTTATAGAGGTACATCAATATCTGTACGGTGTTGGCAGGTTTGAGTTATGTGTGGGTGTTACCTCACATTAATGAGGATAAATGTGATACCCCACATTTGAAACCAAATGTTTCCTCTTGTGCTCCCTCTCTGTCTGAACCTGTCAACTGCAGTATGTCAAATTTGATGGCTGAATTATGAAAGAAAAATATATCAGTAGAACTGTAGATACATAGGTGACAAGGTACAAGTTTCAGGCACTCATGTGAATAACAGTCATGCTGTTATAAATGGATGTTTTTTGTTTTTTTTTTTTTTTAAGCTATATTAATAGGTGTGAAGAGTCCTCCTTTTATTCTGTTGCTGTTCCCATAAAATATGGAAGAAATAATACAATAAGCCTGGGTGAAAACATAGGTTAAAATACTTGGTTTGTGGCTCATGATTTTTGGCAGTGGGTGCTGTAACATCTTCCCTGTCTGTCCTTCTGCAAATTAATATTGAAGCTGCACCTCTGCTCTATAGCTTGAGTACCCAAGTAAAGAAAAATAGCTCTACCTGTACCCCATGGGCTCGTATTTCTGTTGACATGAAAAGCAGCTTTTTAAGAACCCATGTTGAGAAACTGCTTACATTTCCCCACCCCTTGTTTTAGTAGCTTTCCTCTCTTCTTAAATTTTTGACTGTGTTCAGTCATGGAGATTTGCATTTTATTTTAAAAGGAGACCTTGTTTCTTGCTTCATTCTTTGTAGCGTCTCCAAAGCAATGAGGCATGACTTTTCATGGGAATGTGTTGGTTTGGTTTTGTTTTGTTTTTTTGTGTGTATATGTGTGTCAGAGATGTCTTGGGAAGGAATGTATTCCTAGAAACTGCAGGATTTGCCAGGACATCAAGCTTGGTTTGATAAGGGAAAACAAACAAAGTCTCTGTAGCTGTTTGAACT